GGGGGCCTGAATTTTTCGTCATTTGCAAATTGATCCCCAAAATTTTGAACTTCTTAAGTTATGAATCATAAGATACTAAATTTGACAAAATAATCCAATTAATGACGAGTGTTAATTCATTGTTAAAATTATAAAGTTCTCGATTATAAAACGGACCAACTGAAAAAGTCTTTGCTACATTCGTGCAAAAATTGCGGTGCATTTTCGTCAATTAAATGACGCTCTTAGCTACTATACCACAATTGCAATAAATTCTCAAATTTGAATCCCAATTCATAAGTTAAAATTTTAAGTCTGAATTATCAAACAAAAGAAAATTTCAACGTGCGAAGTAAAAAAAAAATATATATATATATATATTATCTTTTCTTTTCTTTCCTTCCGTCCTGGTTTCCTCAAAAAGTCTGAACCCTTTTTCTCTGGAGTCTGTCTGTCTTCAACAACTAAGGGCCCAGTATAAAAAAGAAATCCTTGTCGGGGTACTTCAGATTATAGGACACTAACAAATTGGCAAATGTTGCTGGTGAAAACTGCCGGGTGTCTGCACTGGATTTATTCCAAATGTCACCATTCTTGACATAACCAGCCCTTTTTGGCTGACGTTAACGTGCTACTTTCTTGAGCCACTTGGGCAGCTTAATCATGATAGTTAATTTTAAACCAACATTCAAATCTCCAATTAGTGATGTGTATTGTTTGGGCGTACTAGAAAAAGAAACACTCTTTAATGTTATAAAACAAATGTGAAAACTAAAATCTTGCATAAGAGAATATGAGAGTCAACACAATTTTCTAATTTTTTATTTACTTATGTGGAGTAATATAAATATATTCATATTGTCTCTATTTATAGATTAAGGAAACGTTTAGTTCATGGATTAGAATCATGATATTAGAATTATTTTTGATTTACGTGTATTTTTTATGAGAGAAAATACTGCAGCGAACCATGTATTATAATTCGAATCGGGATACGAATCTCCCAACCAAACAACTCCTAAGAGTCATAAATAGAGACAAAGACAGAGAACATGAGTTACATGAGTTATAAACACATTAAGATAGGTCTTATGGAGAGATAATACACAATATTAAGAGAGGAATTATGAAGGAGATAATGAGATCTAAATGAGAGGTTATAGAATATGAAGTGGTGGCATCCACACTTCACAACATTTAAAACTTTTTCTTTGTTTATTTTTTGGTTAAGTTCTGTATTATTCCAAAGGTTTCAAAAAATAGTAAGAGACATCATAAATATTAAATACCATCACTAATAAAAAATGAATCTTATATATGAATCTTAATAAGTATTGTTAACACCGTCTATAGGATATAGCATTGCCTAAAAATTTTTAGTAAACTCCATGCGGTCAAAAGCTCATGTATATAATAAATATAGTTTTTTTTTTTTAAATTTTGTTCGTAAGGTAAAAGTCGTCATTTTCACACTAACAACTCCCACCATATTTCAACTTATTTGAACAAAGAAAGAGTGGATGGATAAACTAGGGCTTGGTGAAGTCAGCTTGATTACGTGGAGAGATTGAGAAACTGAGAAGCTTCGGTTCCTTTCCATGTGTGGTTCTTGTTTTGGCATATTTGACTTTTCACTAAATTAATGAAATACAGACCTCATGGCTGCAAAAGGGTATCAACAAAACTCATTTTAACATTAAATTATTTAGCTTTCACACATAAAACACATCACATAAATAGATATAAACCAAGAACTCGTCCTCTCAGCATCCCTCTCTCTCTCTTTCTCTCTCTTTCTCTCTCTCTCTAACACAGTTTCAGTTTCTCTCTCCACGACCATGTTTGAATTCAACTCCGCGGTGGAGTTGATAAGCCACGCCGTTTCAAACTCTCTGTTCGTCTTCTGTTTCTGCAACTTGATCATACTGATGATCCTCGTGGGCTCCAAAAAACCCAAACGACAACTAAGCCAAATTAGCCCTCTGTCGATGGTCAACGACAAACGAAGTGATGACGAGAAAAGTACTAAACGACAGTACGAGGAGAGAGACGACACCGGGGAAGACAGCAAAGTGATGATGATGATGATGATGATGAGTGGTCCGAAAGCAGAATCTGAAGATGACAGAGCCGCTAATGATAATGATGGAAATGTTGGGGATAAAGAGGAAGATGAGCTGAGAAAAAGGGTGGAGGATTTTATTGAAAAGGTCAACAAAGGATGGAAGGCAGAATTATTGAGGACTTCACATTTAGTCTAGACAGCCTTGGTCTACACTCTACAAGGTGGGTCATATGGACTTGGAATGATTTTTTTTTTCTTTTTTTCTTTTTCCTTTTTGCCCTTTATGTAATCCAACTGAAAGTTTTTTGTTTTTGTTTCTGTGAAACTGACTTGCGCTGTCAGATGACCCCCTGTTTTTGTAAATTGCAATCCCATACATAGAACACGCAAATTGTCTCAATTTAGTTTAAACCGTTAGTAGTTGGTACTTATTTTTGGGACTGTGGATTTGCAAATGGGAGTAAGGAGACAAAGATGTATATACAACTCAATTTTAAGTCGTTGGCGATCTCACCTGTTGAACAATTTCAATTTATATTAAGGGACTAGATTTTCTGTATAATTTTCGGTATTTCAACTGGTGTCTTATCGATTAAATTGTGTAATATTATCTCATAAAAAACACAAAAAAATTAATTAAAAAAAATTTAAAATTATTATAGAATATGACATAATATAATTAGATAGATATTACATGTAACACTAAAATTAGACGGAAGATATCTTGTGACAATTGCTAACTCTTTTAACAATCCAAGTAATATTTTTTACCAATATTTTCATGCTTTGGTAATTCTCTTGGGTTTCTTTTGACAAAGTACCGTTTTTTCTTTGAAAAATGTTACTCAGCATGATTGAACCCTAGCCCCAGCAGACACAAATTAGTGGGGCCCTCACAGGATCTCTCTATATATAGGACCTACCAGTTTGTGTCTGGGGGGATTGGGGGCCGTCAGGCTGAATAGAAATACTCGTTTTCTATCCCCTATGTTTTTGACTTGATTCTGCGTCTTAGACAAAGAAGAACCTTGAAAGAAAGGATACTTGCAAGTACGTGGAAGATATTGAAAAAAAAAAAAAAAAAATGATAGAAAGCTAGGAAAAATTCGAGCCCTTTTTAATTTAACCTGATCAAATCACTCATAACAAGAACAACATTCACTCAAATCAATCAATCGTACAGATACAAATCTCTTAATCAGACAACGATTATCTTTGTTTTTAGTACATCTAAAAATACTACAACAACAACACTAGAAATACATGATGACAACAGCCAGAAAAATAATCCTAAATGATTAGAGAGACAAAGAGTCCTACCTAATAACCTAACAAGAGAGAGAGAGAGAGAGAGAGAGTAGTACAATTCTGTGTTAAAAACCAACATGGGCGTTAAGGCTTTTGTTTCTTTGTTTGTCCTCCTTCAATTGCCAACGAGTCTAATATTGGTGGTCAGACATGGTTGAGGTGAGCCTAAAGTGTGTCATTGAGTCTGCGGAGAGCACCCAATAAGATCAGCAAGAAACCTCGCAATTCGATTGGCTGAGGCTTTTCGGTTCCTCTACCAGCAGAGATGAATTGCTGTTGTTATTCTCGGGAGCTGCATTCCTGAATCCCGGCGGGGGAGTCATGGAAGACGAGTTATTGTCCGCGTTGAAGGCAGCAGATGTTACAATGGGCTTCACTCCACCATATAACATCCTCGTTTCTTCACCAGAGACTGAGCTGATGATGGGAGGTGACATAGCTGATATAGGCTCAATCCTCTGCTTCTTGGGCTTCTGTTCTTGCTGGTGACCAGGAAGAAAACTGCCCACCACGACCTGAAAAGTACTCAAAAGTGTTTAGTAAGGCAAATCAAATAATCCTTCATATGTATATACAGTCATGTATGTTCCTCTTCAAGCAGATAAAATAGAATAAAATCTTTAAATTTTTTTTTTTAAAAATAGAGGTTATAAGCAGAGTAGTGCTCAAAAAATTATAAAAAAAAAAAAAAAGAGATTATTAGCAGAGGATCCCAACTTTTATCCAACTTTATAACACCAACTCATGTTGTTAGTGAATTGTCATTTTCTCATTGGCAGATGTAATTTTATATCAATTGACATGATAATTTTTAAAATTCTACCACTAGTAAAAGAATAACAACTCATATGGTATTAAAAAGTTCAAGCATTTTTCTTAGACACTCGATATAAGTGGTCGATTTTCAGTATTTTCATTCAAAGGAAATGATGAAACCTGAACAGGGCCAGCAGCAACCAAGAGACCAGCAAGTCCTCCTCCCACAACTCTACCATCTGGACCTGCCAAAGAAACGCTCATGCCGCCTGATCTGCTCTTTGTTCCCGCATTCTCAGTAGGCATATATGATCCAGATAGGGAAAGTATCTCGAAACGATCCTGTACAAAACAAGAGAGAAGATTTAACTAGAAATAACTGGAGATGGAGTAATTGGAATTAAACATAACAAGTTGCATGGAACCCAATTATATAATTAAGTAGATAAAATAAAATAAATAAATAACATTTTTATAGATCAAAATCCAGACCTCGTATGTTAAAGTACCCCCAGAAGAACTAGGCTGACGAAGGGTAACATTTGAAATGGTTCCATTTGCAGATAGTATGCAAATGGCCCGAGCTCCTTGTTGAGAGAAGGACATAACCTTCATCGTAACATCCTAAAAGAAACCACGAAGAATATCAGATACCAGTATATGCTCTATTATAAGAAATTACTATCTCACAAAAAAAAAAAAAAAAAGAATTCCCGAAACTTATCACTTGACAGAATACCTTGGCATCATGAAGCAATGCTTTCTTATAAGTCAAACGAAAATGAGAACTTGACAGTTATTGATTCAAAGTCAGCTTTATCTCACTCGAAAACTTGATGCCCAAACTATTATTTACATTTCAATTAGGTTATTTTAACCTTGTAAGCAAGTAACATTAAAAATCATAGCTTTTATCATTTTCTAAAAAGGAAAGAAAAAAACAAAAAACAAACAAACCAACAAAGTAACTCGAACTTAATCGGCTGTTACTCGAGCTAAGTACAGAGCATAACAGTCTATATATAGTTAACCCATGTTATCGGAACGCTTGTTTGTTTCATCTTCACATGAATCTAAATGGCATACCTCACCAGCATTAACAGTAAGCACATGAGGTGTGAAATTTGCACCGACGGAGTATGCAATTCCCTGGCCTACAAAAGGGAGAAAAAAAGAATATTCAAGTACTCGTCATCATACAAATAAGAATTAAGAACTAAACTTCAAAACTGGAATAATTGCACCCCATAAGCATATTAGAATTCCAAATATTTGCCCTAATATTTTGCTTACAAGTAAAGATATCTTAAACATTAAATGACACTGATGTTGATGTTTTTGTTGCATAAGATTACAAGATAATCCTGTCAAGAGTACTTAGTGATTACCGCTAGAACTGATAGCCTATATAATTCAGTGATTTATTTGACGAAAGCAAAATAATCTTTCTTCAAACAATTCTGACCAGAACGACAGAAACCATATGGGAATCATCGAACCTTGTGGTTTCACAGTTTCAGGGGTGAAAACGTCTTATTCAAGAGAAAGTCACTCAAAAAAAAAAAAAAAAGTACACAAAACAGGCTCAACTTGGTTTTAGAAACTACAACAAATTGACCCCCCTAATCCCATAATATCTTTCTTTTAACTCCTTTTTATCTCCCTTTCTTAACCAATTCCATTTAACTAGCTTTTCCACAGAGGTCAACAAATTTTAAGACCACTCCAAATCACCCAATTCCCCAGTCAGTGTCAGGTGTCACCCACTTTGCGGACTCCACATATAAGTTAAAAACAAACCCAAAAATCATTTCTCATTCTGTTTCAAACCAACCCCAGAATATTATTCTGGGCAGAAGATAAAGATTCCGACACATAACAGTAGAACTCAGTAAAAATCATCTTTTTTTTTTTATTACAGACCCACGATTGACATTAATTCCAGATCTGATAAGGAATCTAACGTACGGGTCCACGACGACCACACCAAATCCAGCAGACATTCTCTTTCTCCCTTGCCTTAAAACTGTAAAACTCACCAGAATTCAACCAAAATATCTCACTCAGACACACACCACAAAACACCCAAAAGTGAAAAATAGCAATGGGGTTATTGTGTTAAAACGTAACAGTTAGATTGATTAAAAAAATATATACGTTGGAAATTGGAAATAAATACCTGGGGTCTCGAAAACCTCGTACTTGTGGGACTTTTTGACGGAGTCAAGGGGGCGACCACGACCGCGTTTCCAAGAAGAGAACTCGCCGGTGAGGGGAATAGACGAGGAAATCGGCATTGGGGACAATGCTAAAGCGACAGTGCCGTCAGGGCCGTATTTCCGAGGACGGCCTCTCTTCTTCTTAAACTCCGTGCCAGGTGGCGCCGCTGCGGCTGTGACCGGTGACGGTGAGGCCGTCGTTTGGGCCGGAGCGGCGGCCATTGTGGGCCCGCCGAATTGGGCCGAGTTTTCGCTCCTTGGGGCGACCCTGTAGCTCTCTGGGACGTCCTCGCTGCTCGTCACAGTCACTGCTGCAACCCCAGAAGCTGAGCTCTCTTTCTCTTCCATAATTGTTTGTTACAAAAATTAAAATTCTCAGAAAATTAAAAAAAAAAAAATCACTCCAAAAGGTTGAGAACTAAAACTCCCTAAAACCCTAAAAATCTAGCCGTGGAAGATTTGAGCTTTGGGAGCTTAGAAACCCAGGAAAAAAAATGATCTTTTTGAGAAAAATGGTGAAAACAAAGAGGTGAGGAGTTTCTAATGAAATGAAGCTCGGAAGGAAGGAAAAGATTCGGAGAAAAAATTGGAAACCCTAGAAAGGTAAAACCTTTATTCTGAATGCTGAGATCAAACATCCAAAGCTGCAAATTGTGAGCCCAAAATCCGCCATTGCAGACATAAGCTGAGCTTGAGTGGAAAACTCTGAATTTTCAACGGAAAATTTTGAACAACTCCCAAGAATTACAAAGAAAAAATTTACAAATTCTGGGTGTGATTTCAGGAATACTTCCTAGTAATGTGAATTTAGGGTTTTGCAGGTAAAGAAGGAGAAATAAATAAAGTAGAAAAAAAGATTGAAAATAAAAATAAATCATTAAAAATATATAATTAAATATTGGTGAATTTAATTAACAATTAATATTTAATTGCAAAATTCAAAGTATAAATTTTGGTTTAGAAAATGGTTCACGTCCGTCTTGGAAATTTAATAAAAGTGAATTTAATAATAAATTGGGCAGTGATACTAAATGTGAGTATTTCTAAAATATGAAATTTCAGGAAAGAAAAAAAAATTTTTATTTAATTTAAATTGGTATTTCTTTATTTAAAGTTATATAAAGAATACATATTTCAAAGCTGTAAAGCAAATGTTGGAGCCATACCAATTTTCCAACTACTGACAAGTTCTTTGTCTTTTCAGTTAAATTAAAGTTGACCATAGAAATTTAATTCAAATGAAAATACCCCCTTAGTTTTAAGGTATCTACTGTTAATGCCACTGTAAACATATGCCCTAACCCAAAAAAAACAAAATAAATAAAATAATAAATAAATAAGAAAAAGCCATTTGCAACATCATGTAATTGCTAGATAACCAGAAAAGAATCTTGGCACAAAAAGAAAAAGGTTTTTGTGTAAACCACAAAAGGAAGCATCACTTGTTCCGCTTCTAAAACAGTGGGGACTGTTTTGACAATTTCGGACCCTCTGATCCAATGGGCAATTGCCTAAACCCAATAAACAAACAAATTTTACAAATAAAAAAAGGGGAAAAATTAAAAACAAGACAAGGGAACAAAATGGCAATCTGGGCCCTGACCCAGACCAGAGGTAAGGAACAATGTCCTTTTCTCTAAAATGTTTGCATTCCCCTTTCTTTTAGATTAGTCATTTAGTCTAGTTTCACATATCTTTGAAGAAAATTATGCAACCCCACAAATTTTTTTTCCTTTTCATTTTTCTGTGAAGATGACTCTTAGGTAGAAAAGAAAAAACGACAATGAAACAGACAGCACCTAACTACCTTAAGGATTAGGACTTATCAAACCATAATCCAAGGCTCTTGCTTCATAAATATGGTCGTTTCTCAACCCAAAAGAACAACGATCCTGTTTCTTGCAGAGGCCACTTGAGAGTTACAAGTTCGCAGTACACACCCAACTTACCAATTTCACACAAGGATTTCGTTTTTTCTTTATTTATGGCGATTTCAAAATTACACCCTTAAACTAATTAAGGAAAACGATATGGCCTTTATATATGCCAGCAACACTAATAAATTCTTCACCTAAAATTCTGCGATTTCGTATCCCTAAATACCAACTTCATCAGATTTCTAACAGCTAACAATATTTACACACAGTTAAAATATAAGCAGGATTCGAAATTTCACTATTGTCCAGGATTTGAAAGAATTTGGCATATTAATGTGAATACATTCACATCTAATAACCATAATATTCCTTGGTTTGAATAGTTAGTTGCTAAATAGGAAGACAACTAGGAAGTAAGTGAGAGAAGATGTTGGTCTTCTATTTTAAAAGGCAGTTCAGTTTAGCAAAAAAGACGTCACAATCAATTTGAAAGCATTAGAGGTCACCTTAATCAGTAGAAACACGCTCGGAAATGAAGTCCACGTTCACTGCTCGTAGACTATGCACATTAAATCCCAAACAAGCCAATTACAATTGACTTAACAATGAAAAATTCCCAAAAGAAAAAGAAAAAAATATCAGAAGGCAAAAACATGAAGCATACTGTTCCCAAAAGAATATCAGACTTGTATTGTTGGCTTCATGTGTGTTTTGGGAAGCACAAAACCAGCCCTTCTTTCCTCGAAAGAGTACTCGATTTCTTCAGGAATTTCTTCTACTATGTTGGAAGAATAAGGAATTGATTGAGGCGGCGGTGCTGGAGTCAAAACCATCTGCATCGGAACTGACACCGTTAATGGCGTGGTGGGCACAGGAATTGGCATCACCTTAGGTGTGAAGGACACATTATTCTCTTCTTCTATGACAGTAGTGGTAACTTTTGAAGGAGTTGTGAAAGGCATAGCAGAAGGTGTTTTCTCTACTGTGTCATTGTTGTGCGGTATGTTCAGATCTTCTGAAAAGTTTGTTATGTTGGTTTTCGATGATGATGTCGTTGAAGATATTGGTGAGAAAGGTTTCCGCTTCATTGGTGATTCCATTTCACGAGCTCCAAAAGAGTGGTTTCTCATGGGGATACCAGCAACATCCAAGCCTTTCCTACCTGCATAAACATTGAAAGAAAATCACAACACATGTATAAATATTTCCACATCTCCAAGCATGGTCTCACAGTTTCCAGAAACTTTTCCTCAAACATGGCCCCTTTTAGAAAATGAAAGAAACTTTGCATTTCATAAATTTTTGGTTAGACCTGAAATAATAAAACAGCAAAATAGTTATAATAGCTATAGCGAAGTACCAGTCGATAAACCTGTAAAGCTATCATCCACGTGGTGCTCATTTTGCTGTGCTCGGTCACTCTTCCGACTACTAGGACGGGAAGTAGCAGGTTTAGGAGTTTGAATCATAGCTCCTCCAATGGAGAGTCTTCTATTACTTGCCCCTCCAGTTGACATTCTAGGAGCTTTTTTCACACTCGGCTTGGAAGGACTTGGTTTTGACCCATAAAGTGCCTCTTGTTCAGCGATCAGCTGTCCCTGAAGTTTCTTCTGGTCCTGGAACAGAGATCAGAGTATAATCAAGTCACAGAAAGCTTCACGCTGGCCCAACACAGGTCCATGAATGAACGGGCAGAACAAAGGTTGGTGGGTATAGATTTTTTTTTTTTCCACAAAGCAAAAGACTTGGCAAAGAAACTTGACAGTACCCGCTGTCTGCGGCGTTCTTGCTCCTTCTCTTGTCGTAATATGGTATACTCTTCAAGCATAGAAAGAAGTCGAATCTACATAGCAGTAAAAGAAAAGGAAAATATTATTTAAGACTTAAGATTTTTAACAGATGAAAAGCATAGTGTAGAACTTTAACTGGGAACAAATTTTGAAGAGATTTTAGAAATAAAAGTACTTACGCCATCATATGTGAACTCAATGCCTTTATCCTTCTCCCACGCCACAGTTTTTGAAGCCAATGTGTCCACCATTGCTGGGAATAAGAACACAATTGTAAAACTGGAAATTTATTAGATTCAAAAACGCTATCAATCTGCATAGCCGCAGTTCTCACCTGGAAGTTTATTAACTAAAGCACGGGCTTTCTCGGCACGCTTGAGAGTAAGATGAGCTCCTCTTCCAGCATTGTATCGATTTTCATCCTGTACAACCACAAAAGGTGGCAATTTAAAAAAAAAAAAAAGAAAAAGAAAAAAGGGACATGAGTCCAAATATGTGTGTATACATATGTAGCAAAGGTTAAAAATAAGACGAAGACAACCAACGTGAAAGAATTATCTAAACACCAACCCTGTTATACTCCTCAAGCCAGCACTCCTCATCACATGCAGCCAGCCATTTCTCAACTTTTTCAAGTATTTCTTTCCTGCTAAAAGCTTCCTCTTTAACCTTAGCAATCTGAAGCTCAATTTGCTCAAGGATGAAAGCAGCATCCACAGCTCCTGCAAAGATAAAGAGATGCAGATATTCAAAAACCAATGCAAAGTAACGTTTGATAGTATGACAACACAATAATATTTAATACCAGATTCTAGAGCTTCAATGGCACATTCTAGTGCACTATCTGATTCCAGGACCATACGAGTCTTCCTGCAAATCTCCTCTAGCTCTGACCTCTTTTTAATAACGAGCTCTTTCATTTTGCTGGATTTGAACTCTTCCAACCGAGACACTTCAGCCTCAACCTACAGAAGACATTACTTCTTTAGTCCAAAAAGAAAGCCATTGTCCATTTTCTGTTGTCAACATGAGATAAAGGCTTTAATAGATTATAAAGGTGAAAATGTATAAAGCTTACATAATTAATGAAGTCAACAGAGAGTGTGTTGGGTTCAGTTATTTCATCTTCTGAAGCAGCTACGTTACAAGTAACATTCTGAAACATTTGTTGCTCTTCTATTGGTGTATCCATCAAGTTCCATAACTCCAACATACTAGTTGCAAGATCTTGTAGCTGCCAATATATAAAGAGGGTCACCAAGATAAACTAAAAAGGATAATAGATTACACAGACAGGAAACTGGAAACGTAGAACACTTTTTACCATCTGCATTCTCTTTATTTTAACCCCCCTCAACCTTTGTATTGCAGCAGCCAAAAGCTCAATTGTACCATTACTTAAATTATTAGATCCTTCAGAATCACCTAAACTTGGATGAACTTCACCAATAGTCTGCTTGAAATCCATACCAAGAACTAAGCAAAGTGAGTTTAATGTGCACAGATGATCCTGAACCTGCTTCAGTCGATCCATCTGCAAAACAAGAAAAACCAATACATATGTAAAGAGCTCTTACAAAACTCGGGATGCATAACAGGAAAATATTTAGATTAAAAAATAGCTTAACCTTCTCCTTTTGAAGTGCTTGAAGCTGTCTGTGCAATTCTTCAAGCTTTCTCAAGGATAGATCAGTTTCATCAACTGTGGTGGATGGAATGTATCCTGTGGATCCTTGTATCTCATTTGAAATATTCCGTATCTCCTCTAAGACATCCAGGAATTGATTTCTCCTTTCAGATTTCCTTTTTCGCATCTCCTCTAACTGTGGAAGAATTTTTTTGAGCTCTTCCTTCAAGTTTCCGGTACTCTGATCAGACTGCGATAATAACAGATACAAACATTTTCGCAATAAACGTTAATTTCTGATCAAATTTCAGATTAACAATAATAAGCATTCGTTTTCAAAAAAACAATTAATCTTTTGAAGCACGTGCAAGCCTCTCTACAGTGTTACACGCATTTTTCTGAATCAATTATAATTTTCACAATGAACCAAATAACAGAATACAAACATTTTCGTAATAAACGTTAATTTCTGATCAAATTTCAGATTAACAATAATAAGCACTCATTTTCAAAAAAACAATTAATCTTTTGAAGCATGTGCAAGCCTCTCTACAGTGTTACACGCATTTTTCTGAATCAATTATAATTTTCACAAGGAGCAGTTCCGTAATTGTCATTGGCACTCAAATAACATTAAAAAATGGGTTTTAACATTAATCGTTGTTGCAGGGATATATGGACCTTCTAATAAACCTAAGAACTAAACCTTGTTTCCACTGTCCAAGTGATTGCATGAGGGTGAAGGGTCTGTAGACTCTAAACAGCAAAATGAATACATTCACATCCAACAAAAGCCTCCTGGCCATTATCGAAATTATGTAGTTCCTAAGTCCTAACCTGCCTGATATGTACTGGTCGCTCCCCCATTGCAGAACAAATAGCTGCCAGTTCCGCTTCAGCATCAGCAATGGCTTGGCGTAACTGAGCTCTTAACCGGTTCGCCTGATCCACCTTTCTTCTATAAACTTCGAGACACTCTTGTTCAAGCTCAAGCAGCATTTTATCCCTATCAACATCGGACTCTCCGACTTCATTCCAAATTATCTGATTTTTTAAGGAAAGACAGAGCAAAATAAGTGGGAGAGCGAGACAACTTTTTGGAGTGAAAGAAGATTGGTAAAAATTTTAAGTGTAATCATTGAGTACAGATAAAACTAAGCTAAAAGGTTCAAGAAATGAAGTTATTGAGCAGATAATCTTGAGCTACCTATTATCTAAAACGCAAGAGAAAAACCTGAAGTTCATATAGGAGGGTTCCGCATGTTGTTTCTACTTGTTGAAGTGGATCGAGTTGGCGAGATGACATATTTGCGGAATTCTACCTGGCACAAAGGACTTCCATAGTAAAGATTATGCAGAAAAGGAACAAAGGAAACATGAGTAAAACGAAGAATAACTCTCGATTGATAAAACGTCAATCAGAAAGCAACATTTATTTAAAGTTGAAGAAGCATGTTATCCTGCAACATATCTATTTCTCTAGGTTGTTGTCATTTTCTACCATGAATGACAAGAAAATAGGAATATGTACCCCAGCAGAGAAATTTTTACCAGGAAGAAACGAAAATCCTTCTCAAGCCCTAGATTAACCCTAAATTTTGGGGGAAATCTAGTTAAATCGCTGATCCAGCAAGGAAAATAAGATTGTTTACAATCTTAGGTTTCTTTTTAACCCACATTTGGAGGAAAAGTCCGAATTAGCAAAATATCGAATGACTCCAAATAATCAAACTCAACAGGTAAAGCTTCGTTTTTGAAATTTTTGTTCCTCATAAATTCAGCTCAATGGAATTGATCTCATCATTGAGATCACGAGCAAAAAATCAACCCTAAGTACTACATTTGGTTGAGGAAGTTCAAAATTTTCTCGGAAAAAAAGGTAGAAAATCCAATAACCCCCAACATACAAAACCTTCCCCAATTAGTCTAAGCTTTTGCGTTCATAGGTTTCAAAAGAGGAAAAAATCTATAATTAGGAAACGCGATATTTTCCGTTGAGTTCTAGCATTTTTCTCGCGTACACAGAACAATGTAATCCAAAAAGGATCAGGAGACAAACAAACCTGTATGGATTTTCCTTTGCAGGTGTGAGTGATTCGGCGATTTTCCTGAGAAAGAGCGAATGTGGATTTTCTCGGAAAGTGAGAAGTAGAGAGAGTTTGAATTTTGATAAGGAAAGTAAAAGGTGCGAGTATTTTGGAGGCTAGAGATAGAGAGAGAAAGAAGTAGCCGTTTGAAAGAGAAAAGGGACCGTTGAAGAGCGCGTGGATTTGTTCTTTAATGATGTGAAACGAGATTTCAGATTTGATGTGGCTGTATGCGAATCCACCTTGATTTGAATTTCAAATTTTTTTTTTTTAAAGAGAGAGAGGCGACTGGGATTTTGTGTTGTGAATTTACGTTAGGACTTTAATTGGCTAATAAGATATAGACACGTCAGTAAATGAATAATGGGCCGGACCGAGAATGGGAAAATCCTTATACGACGTTGTTTTGAGTGTCGTTAGCGTTTTATTCTCAATTCCGTCGCGCACTTTTTTTATAAAAAAAAAAAAAAAAGTACCGTCTTTGCTACGTGCCCACCATGCATGCATCGTCAAAATTTAGAGATGGAAGTATGAACACGATCTTAACCTGGTTATAATTTTCTTTTTATAAGAGATGAGGCCCTTTTTTTTTTCATTGGAAGTATTAAAGAGCATTTTGTGTGGGCGTTTTCGAAAACCAACAATTTCTTTCATCATTGTTTTTTCTTTTCTTGATAATTAGGTTTCTCTCATTATTGTTGTGCAAAACTACAAAACGCTTGTTCCTTTCTGACGGAGATAGGAAATTACAAGTTATTGACGTTGGAGTGTGAGCAAGTCCGAAGGCAAAAAGAAACGGACGTACAGTTATGGACAAATATTCGGCGGCAAATTTGGCTAGAAGCTTCGTCCAACCAGGCCTCGTAATTTATAGCCAATCAAATTAATTTTGTTGAGCATAAATTTTCCATTCCTTTGAAGAAAACAAAAAAGCATAAATTTTCCAACTCTTTTTTTTTTTTTTTTTTTTTTTAAGGAATGAATTCTATTTTGTCACTAAGAGCCCCCTTTTTTTTCCATTTAACTTAAAAAAGATAAGCACTAAACGCACCAGAATTTTGACCACAAATCAAATGACTAAAGGGCCTTTTCTTAGAGCCCGTTTAGTTCGCTGATTCGAGTTTTTAATTCGAATTGAGATGTGATTTTATGTGAGAACTTTTTACTGTAGTAAAAAAGTTAAATGTAATTGTTTATGAGAGCTTTTTACTGTAACAAAACTCGAATTCTAAACTCGAATCAGCGAAATGAACGGAGCTCCAAGGTTCAAATTTGATGAATCTGAAAACCGTTGACTCCAAACTTACCAAATGGAAATATTATAGATCGTTTCATCATCATGGCATCCAAAGCCAATGACAGTGTTTCCAGGCAAACTCATTTAAATAGTAACAGAAAGATGGGACCAAATAGTGAAACTCAAAGAATAGATCTTCTTTATGAATAAACACGTGTAACATAGTTGGAAAAAAAAAATTCTGATGGTATACCTAGGTACGTAATGATTTCGATAATTGAGGTGAAACAGTTCCTATAATATAGAACTAGTAGCTAATCCGCCCATCTGTTATAGTAAATAATCACTCTACAAGTATTTTTAACTAAGCTTCCCTCCCAACTTTAGACGTGAATTAAATCTCACTAAAAAGTAAAGTTATACCTTCAAATTAGATCAGAGATACAACAATGAAGGTTGAAGCACAACGAAGCCAAAAAAAATCTCATGATGAGAAGCTCGTGGTGTTCTCGTACTCTCTTCTTATTATTTCAAGCACAAGTTCGTTCCAAGTATCTACTGGACCGGGCATGCACCAGTGTAAGCAATCCTGAGGTGGGGGCTTTCCATCAGGGCCACGTTTTGTGAGCTTATTCGGGTCCGTGTTTCTGTATGGGCCTGGATGCCCGTCGTGGCGGTACTCAAAGACTCTGGTGATGTCCATCAATCTCATCTTCGATTTGTTTTTCACCTTCTTGATTGCGCGGTTGAAACCAGTTACCTGTTTCTCATGCATTATGTTTGTGAAGCCATTTTCTACTATTTCACCAGCTGCAAGTGGCTTTGTTTTTCCAGTGCATGATCCACCTGTATTCCATTGCCCACCCTCGTAATGATCGGGCGAAAAGGAGCGTACGATGGCTAGCCCTGTGTAATTAGGATTCGTACCAAGAGCCGCAACGATTGTCTCAACAGAAATTCCAAATGCTTCAATGTTGTTTATCTTCATAGGTCGAGACTTGTCTGGCCACCACAACTGTCCTCCCACAATCTTATTGTTCAAAAGATAGACGGACTGCTTGGCAAACCAATGGCCAGAAGAAAGAACAATCACATCAAAGTTTGTGATGTGTTCCATGATGCTATCATCGGGGGCATCAAGGTGGAGCTTCACAACACCCTCTGGGGCAAAGTCAACCGCTTCAGATGTTTGCTTAACAAGCCACGAGGACCACATCCGGACAACCATTACTGATGTTGACCTGAAATAATACCGTTGCATTTTTTTATTCCCACGGTTTTTTGGCACTTCTACCTGAAAGGACAACGAGGATGCTCTTTAAACATCAAGCTATTTAGTTTAGTGTGAGTAAATGTCATGCAAATCAAAGGGAAGGTATATGGAAGTGAAATGTTGTGCAATCCAACGTAGCACTCCGTGGTTCGACCACACCAAAGCCCAGATCGGTCCTACTTGCATGCAATGCTTGAAACGTCAATTCATTAACAATAACAAGAAACTTTTGTAGTCTCATTAATAATAGGTATACTGGATATTTTTAGTTTCCAGGATAGCATATAACACGACCGAAAAGGTGCAAGCACAGCTTCGAATTACTTAAGATGCCAATTTAACATAACAGACCTGGGCTTTTAGAATATAGAAAACTATATTCCGTTTGACGTTCATACAACACTAAGTAAACACTACTACAGTAGGTTACTTCCACATGCGTTCATATAACATGAAAACAGTGAAGTCCGCTACTATGAAAGACAAAGTCAAGCAAAACAAAGCCTTAATTTTCAAACACAAATAAGAACTACATATAAAGAATTAGCCACTTTTCATGACAATTTTGGCTAACAATTAACTATCAAGCCTAACAATTCAAGCAAGTTGCAGGCCTCACAACAGGTATGATATAATAGTACAACATTTTTCTCTGATGGCCTGACGAGTCTTCTTTAAAATGACTAGTTACTTAAGGTATTGGAATGGAATGCATTAAGATACAAGAAAAGAAATGAATCGGCATATTAGGGCACCACATAAAGGAAACACAATACTGATCCTTGAAGAAAAGGAACAAAAAGCAAGTTAAACAGTTTTTCACATACTTGATACTTGATAGCAGAATATTACACTGGCAAGTACAGCTTTCAAAGGATCAAAGAATTAATAAACTAGGGCGTGATTAGCAATTTGGACCATAACGCACCAGCCCATCTGAAGCAAATTTATATTGTCATATCATTTAACCATACAAGAAGTTGATAATTACCTGCCAGAGCATGCACAGCAGGGATTCCATCTGGTTTCGAGCAACAGAATCACCAATAAATGCAATTGTTTTCCCTCTCATCAAGTCCAGAAATTTTCGACCATCAAAACGTGGGAGGTCACACTTTTCAGGCTTCCATCGCCAATTCTCATAGTCCTTGTCAGGCCTCCCATTTCCCTGGCAATTCTGCATCTGTGTCAGGATAGGGCAGGTATTGTTTGTGTATACTGGTCCCAAGGAATCAAAGATCCAGCTTCCCTGGTATAGATCACAACCTACATAACAGCCACCAAAAGACAAATGAAAACCTTAGAGAAAATATATGAAGAGGAAAGCAGCGCAGAAATAATTCGCACTAGATAGAGATATAATTACAACTCGCAAGACATGCCTTTTCAGGCTAAATTGAAGAAAAGGAGCATCTCAAGTTAAACAGAAATTCAGGCAAAAAGGGCATGTTCCTTGATTACTCTTTCGTGCTCAAATAGTTTTGGATCTTTTAAATGCAGAAGCTGGTATGATAATAAAAACTCAGCATATGAGAAAACTAAAATAAATCAATATCTAACATCGGTCATAAAAAGAGCAAATAAAAGGATATAAACAATAGAAGATGACATTTTCTAAAAATGAAAAATAAAAAAGAAGATGAAGATGAGTTTGAATAATCTAGTCCAAAAGATCAAAACTAGTAAGCATACCTGCATCAGTCCTGCTTGAGTTGCTCGGAAGAGGAGAATCATGAGAAAAGGCTGGCGCATCACCTGATTTGGAACCAAAGGAAGCTGCAACAGTATCGTTGGTTCCCATATCTAAAATACTAGAATTGTTAACGGAACCCATAGATATGGAGTTGCCAATTTGATCACTATCTGTAACGTTGGATAAATAACTACCATCCTTAACCCAATCTTCACGTGTCGAATCAGAAGACTGATCAGGAACAGGCGGTGCTAGATCTTTCATCTTCTCAACATCTGAAAGGGTTGATGGACTAGTTGAATTTAAGTAGGGGGGCACTTGAGAATTGGACTCGTGGGATAAATTCTTAAGAGTTACTTCAACGTTGACATCAATAGATGAACCGGTTGGACTGGTGGACACTTCTAAAGTAGAATCTGAAGGAAAATTTTCGCCAATTTCTTCCGGAGAAAGACCGGATGAACTCGTGGGAGCTTGTGAATTAGACTCAGATGAATCATTCTTATCTACATTGTGAAAAGTGACGGTTGGATTGCCTGAATAGCCTGAAAAATCCAGCTTTTGGGATCTATCAACACCGTAAAAATACCCACGAACCGTGGAACCAATTGGGTTTGACAATAGAATACATGAACCCAAAATTAAGAACACGGCCAATCCTCCCACAGAAAGCAAAATCCAGGAGAAAGTCCTTGGATATGCATTAATTGCTAAATAACCCTTGGAAGAAGAGGTCCAAGTCATGACTTTCCAAACTTAGAAAGTTTCTACTAATCCAGTGTGAAACATGGGACCTTCAAACCTAAATTACCTACCTAATACGAAAATCTCATAATCTTCGTATAACCGCAATTTCTATATAGAAATTCCCAAATTTAATTTTCTTTCCAAATCAAGAACCCGAAAATTCTATTTGCAGACGATTCTCAATCCAAGCTCCACCTCTTTCGGAGATCCTGAAAATACATTATAAGAATTTTACTTACTAATTCAGGTTACGAACTTCTTCCACAAAAATTTTGGTTATTAATTTAGAAAGTTTTAGCATTAAAAGCTCGCATGAATGCAACAAAAATAAACAGACACGTAGCAGAAACCAAGAATATTCAACATCAAAAAGCAATCTGAGAAATCACAATAAATTCCCATAAAAATACGCGCGAATTAACTCTTAGCTGCGATTATAAATGCATTTGAAAATTGTGAATCTACCATTACCAGGAAGGAACAGAAAAGCTCTGCGATCACCGAAAGCAGCACCAAACTCTTCCTGAAATCGTTTTTCCGTTTGTTTCCCGGGAAAATAGAAGGCGAAATCTGGAAAATGGGCGTGGAATTGCTTGATTTTCGTAAGAAAAACCGAGAATCGAACGGGTTTCTGTGTCTGCTCGGCAACCGATTATGGAAATACGTGAAGATCTCGGATCAGGAAGAACTTGTTGGTTTTAAAAGAACAAGAAAAAAAGAGGGTTTTATTACTTTAATTTAACATAAATTAAAAATAAACTAGTGTATTTATCAAACAAGAAAAGTATCTATTTATGCAAGAGTAATTTGCGGAGAGGAGAACTTCGATCTTGTTTCTTCTTGAGTTCATTTATGCTTCGAATTGATGATTGGTAGAATTACTATAATACCCTTAAATCAGTGATGGAGGAAGGGTACGGCCATACCGTTGTAGGGACCATATGTAGGGCCCAGTCGTCACATTCAAGCGCTGGATCCGCCGTACACGTCCTCATGACGATAATATTAAAATAATTGTTGTAATACTTTTTAGTATTCCTTTTTCGTATAATTTCTCTCGATCATCTTTTGGTTGAGAAAATTTTTAGATGTCAATGCCCATTTATGTCAACCGAATGGTATAAGATGGAGTGGGTTGGTTTAGGAACTAATCCAATAACTAAGCGGGATTTAAATGCTTTGAGGATAATGTTTTTATAACGGAAAGTTTAACAAAATACCAAATTGTCGCAAATTATCACATTTTATAAGGAAATTCAACTCTAGACATTAAACAGATTCACCAATAAAGGGTCCGTTCGGTTCGTTAATTCGAGTTTTTAATTCAAGTTGAAATATGATGTTGTGTGAGAGTTTTTGATTGTAGCAAAAAAGTTAGATGTTATTGTTTATGAGAACTTTTTATTGTAGCAAAACTCGAATTCTAAACTCAAATCAGTGAAAAGAACAATACCAAATATGCATGAAGCACAAGTGCGAACACAAGTGTCGAGACCCAATAGAAAAATACCCACTTGACATTAACAAAATTGAGCGCGACCAAACCTCGTTAATAAGAACCATTACAGTCGATGGATAAAACCAGTCGATCGAGATCAAATCCCTAATATTGAGAACACGAGCAACATGACTTATGAACCAATATAGGTGTAAACAAACACACACACCGCTAATAGCCAATTCAAACGGGTGGGACATATAACGAAATCGGAAAGTGAGGAAACCAACTCCATTATACAATACATAAACTTAGCAAAAACAATGTCTTTATTAAAATTAACGAAACCTAAAAAAATCTTCAGCAATATAGGAATAGATGCCGACAACAAGCCAACAACCATTATGCGAAAGCTAAAGAAATTGGATCTGAGCAAAGCTATCACAACAGAAGCGTAGTCGCCACCAACAAAGCTAAACGCAAAAACAACCCGAATGATGCCCTTGTGCCACATATCCATCAGCAACATCCTGCTCCTCACCAGATCTATGCCTCCATCGCTAATGGACTGTGCCCATCAACCACCAAGCTAAACGCAAAAACAACCCGAATGATGCCCTTGTGCCACATATCCATCGGCAACATCCTGCTCCTCACCAGATCTATGCCTCCATCGCTAATGGACTGTGCCCATCAACCACCGACCACACCCGCGTGACCTCAGCCATCGTCTCAAGGGCCAAGAGTGGCGACCAAATAGTGGATATGCCAGACTCTGGTGCTAAGAAGAGATCTCAATCTCAAAACCCTAGCCGCCTCACGAGAGAGAAAGAGAGACATACTAAAATAAATCTTTCCGATGATAATGTTTTCTGTTGGGTTAATTTTAAATTTGAAATATCTCAATTTTAGAGCATCTCTAATGCAATGCTATAATGGATATGTCAATTGCAAATTTAGCATTTGAGGCAAAAAAAATACTCTCTAATGTAATGTTATTTGTTGTGCTAAATTTTTCATATGCTATACTTTGTGGTAAATTTCTCACCAAATATAGCATATGAAAATTTGACATTTGATTGTTATTAGTTGAAATGTTTACTTTTTTTTATGTAATCATTATAACTTTTACATTTTTTAATTATTTAAAAATAAAAGTTTACTTTTGCAACTTTCATATCTTAATGATTATAAGAAAAAAAATAGATTTAGCATTTTAAATAACATTTTGCATTGAAATAAAAGTAAAAATAACATATCATATCACACTTTTTAATGCTAAATATATAATTAGAATTAGCATTTATATTGGAGATGACCTTAGTTGATGTGTAAATTTTATAACATTTTTAATGAGATAGATCATGTGACCATCTAGTAGAGGAAAATATAGTAAATTGAAAATAATATACTTTAAATTATAAATATATATAGGTCTTGTTCACTTCGCTGATTCGAGTTTAGAATTTGAGTTGAGATGTGACTTTATGTGAGAGCTTTTTACTGTAGCAAAAAAGTTAGATGTGATTGTTTGTGAGAGCTTTTTACTGTAGAAAAACTTAAATTCTAAACGCGAATCAGCGAAGTGAACGGGGCCATAGTACACATGATTTTTCTTCTAATTCTATGCCTTTCTTTCTTTTTCTCTTTTTTTATTATAAAAAATTAAGGTATTATTATCGCACTCTGTGTTTTCTCCTCTCTTTTTTCTTTCTTTCTTTCTTCTTTTTTTTTTTTTTTTTTTGTGGTAATTCATGTATTATTATTGCACTTTTATATTGCCATTTACTAATTAATCACTGAATCCACGCGTAATAATAAAACTAACTACATGTTTTGTGGTTGGTGGAATAATTGATATCCAAACTTTATATAATTAAATTAACGGCGGCGCAAATGTTGACATCGGTGAGATGACAAACCAGACAATGAAGCACGCCTTATCACATTCTCAAGTGCACGTTGTTTTACTTTTACTAAAAGGAAAAAAAAAAAAAAAAAAAAAAAAGTGCACGTTTATGGGGAGTAGGTTTTTCACTTCATATTGGATAATTATTGGAGAATAAAAGAACGTTGGGATTAGGTTAAGATTACTGTCTTCGGCACCTCACAACCTTGATTATAGTTCCAAAGTCTGCATATATCATATCAAACCTACTATGGGAGTAACAAAAGGTAAAATGCCATATTAGGAAGATGATAGATTGTGACGGCACAATTGTAACTCATCTAACTCCGGCATTTAATTTCTCACTACCTGATTGATAACAAATGCCCTAATTAACTTGTAGGAGCTTAGTGATAAACCATTTATTCAAAAAAAATTTTTTTGTTAGGACGGTTAATCAAACCTCCATCCCACCCAAAACCATGCATCTATCTTCCCACCCGCCTACATTATCACTCGTTTTTTATGACGGATTTTGTATCTATTCTCGTTCTTTGACGGGCTTTAAAAATTTTTAATGCCAGTTTGAGCCGTCTACTTGTTAATTATTTTTTCTTTATATGTATTTTTTTAACTCAATTCATTCTCTCTTTTTTAGATCTATTAGATTAAAGTTCCAAGCTTGTTACAAAATTGAAAAAAAATAAAAGGGAAGATAGGGTCACAAGATTAACTCAAAGTAAGGATTGTACTCACCTACTGAACCCGCTACATTATTGAGTAAGAAAGCTACTCTCGAGTGCAATGTGACTCCTTGTGCTAAGTTTGTTATTAGCATATAATGAATTTGACATTTGATTGTTAAACTTATTAGTATATAATGAATTTGACATTTGATTGTTAAACTTATTAGCATATAATGAATTTGACATTTGATTGTTATCGATTTATATGTTTACCTTTTCATTTACCATTACAACATTTGCATTTTTGAGTGATTTTAAAATTAAAAGTTTACTTCCAATAAAAAAAGAACTAAGAGTTTACTTCTACAATTTCTAAAACTTAATAATTATGACAAAAATAGACTTAACATTTGAAATAATATTATTCATTGAAGTACAAATGAAAATAACATACTATTTCTGTCATAATCACATTTTTTTTTATGCAAGCATGCAATTAGCATTAGAATTTGCACTGTAACTGGTATTAAAAGAATAAAATAAAAAATAAAAACAGAAATTATAGTAAATAATAAATTTATGAAACTAAATTAAGAAAATGATAGATTTTAAAATATTTAAAACAAATAGAGATTTTTTATCACGTAAGTTTTTTATTTACAACAAGTAAAGATTGTTTGCGATATTTTTACCACGTTAATTTTCTTTTTATGATAGCTAAATTTTTATTAAGTAAATTTATACAATTATTTACTTCAAATAATTTTAAAATCTACTATTTTTTTCCTGAATTTTAAAATGTACTATTTTCTTTAATTTATTCTATTTACTTCATTCTCAATATATTGTTGCTATATCCTCGCTTTTTAGGTTTTCGTTCAAGGCTTGAGCTTGCTAGGCCCTTATCCAGCCCATGTTTTCAAAAAGTAACGGGCTTAAAGACAAGGCCAGTAGAACGGCTCGAAACGAATAATCGGCCTAACCCAACTGGTGTCTCTCCTCAGTCCTCAGAAGCTGCTGTTGGCTTTGCCTGCCCTCTCTCGCAGAAGTCGCGAACGGTCTACCGAGCTTATATCCACTTTTGTAAGAGCTCCAAAAACCCGCCAACAAAACCTTTCTAGGGTTGCTTGTAATTGAAGCTTGGTTATGGCGTCCCATACTCTCTCAGCCATCGTAATCCCGCTTTCGGCCTTGCAACCTTCTCAGGGAAACTACAGTAGTGCTTCTTCTCCTCTGCTTCCATGGCGTCTCCACCCGACCAATCTCTCGACCTCCTGTGTCGGCCGCCAACTCTTGATTCGGCCCACGAATTTCAAGAATTTAGCTTCAAAGCGCCGCCCCGCCATTGCCACGGTGCTTTTCAGCCTCCCAACTGCGTAAGTCTGTGCATGTATGTAATTTGTTGCTTCCGATTTCGCGAGAATTCCATTGATTTTTCTGTGAGAATGATTTGTTGTGGATTCTTATTTTTGTTTCCAGGAAAACGGATAGGGCTTCTAACGAGAAAATCCCAAAGTGAGTTTTTTGGTTCATTTTTACTGTTGATTTGTATGGATTTTCGTGGTGTGCGATTCTTTTTTGACTTGTGAGTGATATTTTTTTGTTTGATTTGGTTTCGGGAGAATCTTATTAGCTGGTCCGCGAGGGCAATAAAGTCGTTTGCCATGGCGGAATTAGAAGCGAGGAAGCTAAAGTACCCGAATACCGGTACCGAGGCGCTTCTGATGGGGATTTTGGTTGAGGGTTAGTAATCTTGGCCTGTTTCAAGCTTGTTTGTTTTGAATGTTGTGTTGGAACTCTAGTTGTAAACTACCTTTTGATTTTTGTTATTAATTTATTCTGTGAGGATGGGTTCTCCTAACAAATACCTTGTCTATCGTGGACTCAAATTGAACCCTTTATGATTGAACAAAATCCAGAAACTTAAATCTGGAGCTTGAAGAAGCTATAGATTGGTTTATAGTTTTGTTTACCCGATATCACTGATCTATTATATCGTCCTTTTTGAGAGTTGGTGATTAAAATGTTTCATTCTTATCAGGGGGAAAACATTAGTAAGGAAGTTGTTTGCTTAAATTTGTTTTGTTAATGATTTTGATGTGTACTTTAGAGGGGAAAGCTTGCCCATTTTGAAGTTAGCATTTTCTTTGGGAATTACTTTTTGATTCGTGGTTCCGTTGTTTGTTAATAATTCCGGGTTCAAGTCAATTTATTGAGTTTTGCTATGAATTATACATCTGGGATTGGGAACCTTCAACTTCAATATGCACTAGTGTGATATTTACATTTTAAAGCTTTATTTTCATTCCCATTTTATTTAATTCGAACACTTCTTCGATTTGAAATAAGCACAATAAATTACTAATTGAAAAAAACAAGTGTTCTTGAAGAACTATGGAGTAAGAACTTAGCTGGTGGCGTTTCAATGCGTTCCATTCCATTTGCTTTGCTGCTCCACCAAAGTTTTCTTTAATATTCTCTTTCCATAGTTGTATAACTTGGATTCACTACTTTCTCCTTAGGAACAAGTGTAGCTGCAAAGTTTCTAAGAGCTAATGGAATCACACTTTTCAAGGTGCGAGAAGAAACTGTAAATTTACTTGGGAAATCTGACTTGTACTTTTTCAGCCCTGAGCATCCTCCATTGACTGAACCAGCTCAGAGAGCCCTTGATTGGGCTGTTGATCAGAAATTAAAGTCAGGTACCTTTTTTTTTTCCTTCAATATTTCTATGATCTAATCTAAAAGAACGTAATGCTAATGATAAATTTGTATGTTCTCTTTGAAGATTGTTTCCACTGGTTCTCCTTTAGGCTAAGCTCACACTTTCCACTCGAGTCCTTATTCATATTCAGAAGTGTGCATATGAGATTTGGTTTAATGATAATTGCGCCTTTGTAATGGTCATGCATTATGTCTGTCTTAAACGTCCCCATAAATTATGGTAACTTGAATGGGTTTTGGCTGTTGGAGTTATAAAGTAGGATAAGAAAGATTTGATGTAACCATAATAGAAACTGGCGTCTAACTTCTGAGCCAATCATTTAAATTTAGTTATTAAAACTTCTGTATGAAAATTTCCACCATGGGACATCATTACTCCAAATCACCTGTAAAGCCCTTGTTCAATGCTTTAATTTGGATCTAACTATTAAAATTGATGACGCCTTTGTTTCACCGTGTTAAATTTATTCATTCCTTTTCGTTCTATTGACATAATCCCGAATAATACAGGTGAGAGTGGTGAAATAACAACAGCGCACCTGCTTCTTGGGATTTGGTCTGAAAAGGAATCAGCTGGTCACAAGATATTGGCATCTCTTGGTTTTAATGATGAGAAAGCAAAAGAACTTGCCAAATCTGTAAGTTATAAGGTTCTAGTTTTCTCATTGAGTAGCTTATTATCTTTAGCAGCTTTAATTTTGATTCTTGCTTTATGCAGACGGACAAGGACTATGTTATGAACTATAAATAGGCAACGTAGAGATCAAATAACCTCTTGAAAAAAATGCTACTTGTTTCTGGTGGATTAAACCTTCTCCGACACAGTTTTCTAAAGACATTTTGAGGAAGTTGCTCAGATGGGTGTATTTCAGACTTCGATACCAAATGCGTCGAAAAAATATTTGGACAAGTTGACATCCGGGCTCTCTTCGGAGGAAGTTTGTGAAATTCAGATCTTCAAAAAGCATAAACGAGATTATTGTTTTTAGCTTCTGAAATATCATGCTAGTTCACTTGTTTCTCTTTTCTTCTCGCATAGTGGCCGCGTTGTTTCCCTGGGAGTTGTATTGACATTTTCAGGAAACAAAGGAAAGGATAATTTCTTTCTGCATTCTCCAAACCGTAGAATATGATCCTTCACTACTAATGGAGGCTGCTGATACATTTTAAGCTGCTTTTGGATGAAAAAAGTAATGGTCTGGAATACGACAGCACAATATTCACCTGTTTTTTTATATTGTCATGACTCGTGAATAGCCATATAATTATTGTTGGTAAGTTTGTTTACATCTCAAGAAATCCCAATGACGCGCCATTTCTAAGCACTAAACCACATTGAAATTGAGACCCAAAATAAATGAATAAGTAAATAAAAGCGAGAGCGACACCGTTTTGTGGGCAACTCGGCATACAGATTAGAGAGTTACAGACGTGATAAACGACTTGGTCGTTCATTGACTTTTTTGGGGGTGTGTCGTTCTTTTTATTTTAAAAAACTTGAGCAAGGGTATTTTTTTTGGTGGAATATATGGTAAAAAATATGGTTTTGGTGTACTCATTTCCAAATAGAGATTTGACACGGGGTCTTTGTTGAACTATACTACGTAAACGATATGTCGTTTTCAGTGGGCAAGAACACGTGTTTCAGCTGATTTGTTCCAAACCTCTCACTTTCTTTTTTCTCTATTCTAGCGTCTAGATAAATGTATAAAGCGTATAAATGTGGAGCGTAATTTACCCAGGGATAAGTTTATGATTTTGCCGACATTTCTTTTCCATGAAATTGACAGAATTTCAATGCACAGACTCATATGTTGTTTTACTTGTAGAGAAAACTAATCGACGCAATTATCGACGCAATTATTAGACAAACGTCCTAGTTGTTTAATTAACCGAAAGTATCTTTTTTCTTTTCTCTCTAAATTATGAATGACATTTGGCTTCTTAGAGTTTAAACTACACACAATATTAATATGTTATTTAAGGTACCAATTCGAATTTAGAATTCGAGTTTTACTATAGTAAAAAACTCTTAAAAATAATCACATCTAACTTTTTTACTATAATAAAAAATTCTCACATAAAATCATATCTCAACTCAAATTTTAACCTCTGAATACGAAAATTAAACCGGCCTTCCAAAAAACACCGTTTTTACAGGGATGGCAACATATTTCTGACACAACGACATGCTGTTTCATATAAACGTCATCCAACTAGGGGACAAGAAAACGACATCTGACATCTGCAGTGAAAGCGACATGTTCTTGATATGACTTAAGCAAGGTTATGAGTGGAAACGACAACAAACTTATCGTTTGTGATTGACGATAATTTATAAACGACCTTTAGTTATAGTTAATATTAAGGCTTCATTCATTTTGCCTATTCGAGTTTAGGATTCGAGTTTTGTTACAGTAAAAAGCTCTCAGAAACAGTCACATTTAACTTTTTTATTACAGTAAAAAACTCACATAAAATCACATTTCAATTTGAATTACAAACTCGAATCAGCGAAGTAAACGGGCTCTAATAAACTCGAAGAGCATATGGTTTGTGATTAATTAACGATCCTTTATTAATTATTTTTTTGTAAGCATGCAAACTCTATGTCGTTTCTGTAAATAAACGACATTACACATTAACATACGACCTGCCGTTTTCATTTACCGTTGCAAAAGCCGCACCGTCGATGGCGATGGCCGATGGTACACATGGACCCCGCATCCTCCCGCCATTCGATTCGAAGAAAGCTCATCACTAACGGTGGGTTTCGCTGTTCAAAACCTCACTCTCTTTCTCTCTAAAACCCTAACTTTCTCTCACCTCCCTATTTCCGTTGCCACCCTGCAACCCTAACGAATTGTCCCAATTCTCAAAGCCTTCGAACCCTTTCTTCCTCCTTCTCCCTCCCCCTTCAAAGATGAGCTTCGCGGCGTACAAAATGATGCACTGGCCGACGGGGATCGAGAACTGCGCCGCGGGGTTCGTGAGTCACTCCCGAGCCGACTTCGTCCCCCGCATCCCTCCCATCCAGTCCGACGACCTCGACTCCGACTGGCCCGCCGGCCGCCGCGAAACTGGCCCCGTCCCCAACCTCGTCGTCACCGCCGGCAATGTCCTCGAAGTCTACGTCGTCAGACTCCAAGAAGAAGACGACACCAGAAGCTCCAGGGCTCCGGCCGAGTCCAGACGCGGTGGACTCATGGACGGCCTCTCCGGAGCTTCTCTGGAACTCGTTTGCCATTACAGGTTCTTTACTTCTTTGCCCTAATTAACCTTTGCTTGTTTTGCTTGTTAATTCCTCGTTTTATCGTTCTCGCTTTGCTTGTTTTGCAGGTTACATGGTAATGTCCAAACAATAGCGGTTTTATCTTCTGGAGGTGGCGATGGTTCTAGGAGAAGAGATTCTATAATCTTGAGCTTTCAGGACGCCAAAATTTCTGTTTTGGAGTTTGATGATTCTATCCATGGACTTCGTACAAGGTGAGCGAAAGGTGAAGTCGGACATGGAGCAAGTGTTCTTATTCTTCTCTCACCATTTAATTTCTCTTGATTATTTTGTATGAATCGTGTACGGACAAACATGTTTATATTTTCGAATAATCGTCTCGAACAATTGGGGATCATATGGTAGTGAATATGCAAGTGTTGAAGGATTAAAGTGAGACATGCTAGACGTTGTGAAAGCATTTGAGGCAGCATAATTTTTATTTCTTTATTATTTATTTATTTATTTACCTTTTGCAATTAAGTATGGCTGGAGATTGTGTCGGTATTAGCTTGGTTTTCGGCATTTTTAAATAGACGAGGATGCCTGTGCTGTTAGCTGATTCTTCATTTTTGGGACAATAAATTGTTATCATCTTTTGTTTATGACGCTTATTTATGATGTTGACCTTTCAGCTCTATGCACTGTTTTGAGGGTCCAGAGTGGCTTTATCTGAAAAGAGGTAGAGAGTCATTTGCAAGAGGTCCATTGGTAAAGGTTGATCCTCAAGGAAGATGCGCAGGCGTTCTTGCTTATAATATACAAATGATAATGCTGAAGGCTGCTCAGGTTTATTTTCCTCTCTTAAAAGTTAACTTGATAAGACTAATGATATTCTCATGTCATTTTATTTTGAAATTATATAACATGAAATTAGCTAAACTTGGAAATTGATGATGCCTAAAAGTCACTACTTAAGATTAGCTGATTTGTTTGTAGCAATTGTGTAAAATTATTTTGATTTCTATCCCTCAATTCTTTTCAGGTCAAGTAAACAAATTATCTTGGATTGTTAACACTGTTTGAAGATAATTCATATTGAATAACCTGAATGGTAATGGATTAGAGTATCGGCTAAAGTAGCACATAGTGAGCAGTATGCTTGTTGGATTATTGTATTTTGCATGCTTAGATGTTGTTACATTTCTTGGCAGCGATGAGAAGTATCCTTAAGATGTACTTGGCCTTTTGTCTGTAACTTCCTACTCATTAAGTCAAAACTGAGAGATCTAACTTTCCCTCAAATGGTTGTTGAACTTGAATATCTCTGCTAGATTTGTTATTTTTTTTGTTCCAATTTGCAAGATTAAATGAGAAATTGATTATGGACATTACCAAAAATATGCCATGTTCCTCTCTGTAAAACCAAGTATCAGATAATCTTCTACATTAGTGATCTTTCCTTAGCAAAACTAAGGAGGGCTCGCTACCTATGTTGGCATTGAATGCATGATCACTATAGTATCTAGCTAGATTAAGACTTTACTACAAAAGTAACAACTCGTAAGAGTGATTACGGTGAAATCTGAATCTTTTGCTTTCTGTGTGTATATTTGTTATAAAAACTGTTCTCTTAGACATTGTAAAGGGAACTAGGGAGACTAGATGCAGCAAAGTTCCTGTGGCCTAGAACTTTGAAACTAGAGGCTTTTGGTTTATTGGTCGTTTATATATATATATATATTTAAATCTTTTATTCTAACCTTCTCCTAAAAACTTTGGAACTATGGTTGTCAGGCTGGTTCTGGTTTGGTTGGCGAAGAGGATGCTTTGGGTTCAGGAGGTGCAGTTTCTGCTCGTATTGAGTCATCTTACATAATTAATTTGCGAGATTTAGACATGAAGCATATAAAGGATTTTGTTTTTGTACATGGTGAGTTACAGAAAACTAACATTGATGTCATAGTTATATGCGAACGTCTTGGCCTTTTGGTGGATTGACAGTCTAGAATTGATTTTAGTGGGAATGCTTTTTAGAACATTATATGTGGAAAGACAATCTTTGTTGGGTATCCAAGATTTCTCAAAATAGGTATCCAAGATTTCTCAAATAATTCCGTTTTTTTTTTAATTGTGATTATTGTTATGTGATTCCTTTATTTATGAGAGAGATCTTTCATTTTTTGTTTGTTTGGCTCATGAAACTGCAAATTCATGTCCAATTATTTAGTGCTCTTAGAGAGGATTTTGTATCAAACGTAGAAAATTATGTGTTATTGGATTGCCATTCACGTATAGAGTTTTTTTCATGCTTTCAAGAATCTTTGTGGCTGGATTTGTTGGTACATACAGATTCATTTATATGAGATTTATGTTTAATTGACCATTTCTGACTTGATATGTTTTAACCCTATTATTGATGTACATACTTCGTACAGGTTATATTGAGCCTGTGATGGTTATCCTTCATGAGCGGGAGCTTACTTGGGCTGGGCGTGTCTTGTGGAAGCATCATACTTGTATGATTTCAGCGCTTAGTATTAGCACAACTTTGAAGCAGCATCCTCTGATTTGGTCAGCTGTTGTAAGTTCTGAGTTCTGACTAGTTGGAAATAAAACATCAAAATCTTGGACTTAGTGAAAGTTGTAGTATATTTTGTATCATTTTTTCAGCCATTTCAAGATTGAATGTGAAATTGTTGGCAAGAGTTTTTCTGATATCGTTGAAAATTCCTGTTGTAACTTAGTAGGAAAATGATAATCGGGTTTACATAGTTCAAGATTTCCTTTTCTACATTTACTTGATAATACCTGGATCCAAAACCTATATGGAGAACATTTTGTTGTCTCTTTATGCTTGCCACAGTTTGAGTAAATGCAGTTGATATTAGGCTCTAACATTGCCTGTTTATCTTATATATTTATCAACTTATAGTTTTTCATTTGATCCAAAATATAAATAAGAAAACTTGGATGGAAGTTCCCTTTCCTTTTGGGTCATCCTATTTGTTATTCAGAATAACTAATTACTATCATGAAGTTGTTGCGTTCATTGATCTTTTCCCCCTTTTGTTGTCAGAATCTCCCACATGATGCTTACAAGTTACTTGCAGTTCCATCGCCAATTGGTGGTGTTCTTGTGATTTGTGCAAATACTCTTCATTATCAGAGTCAGGTATACTGGTTGATATTCATAGATACTGCAAGTGCTGAAGCAAACGTGGTTCTGATTTGTCAAGCCATGTAGATGTTCTGATGAATTTAATCCACCTTATGCAGTCAAACTCATGTACGTTGGCTTTAAACAGCTATGCAGTTTCTGTTGATAGCAGGTCAGACTCTCTCTCTCTCTCCCCCTCCCCCCCTCTCTCTCTATCTCTCTACACACACACACACACACAAAATTCGCTCTTGGAGAGAATTCTTTTGCATATGCGGGCAGAAGTTTGCCTTATGCTATGCCAGCTTAACTTTCCTTTTTTTTTTTTTTTTGAATGAATGTGAGGATGACTTGGAGTACAATAGGTCTAACAACAGCAATTAGAGGAATTGATTCTACATTGTACGAAGAATTTGCAGCTAAAACAACGGACAATGACATGCTTTGATGCTAGTTGGGTTTTTTTTTTTTTTTGTATGACATGCTTTGCTGCTAGTTGTTTTCTTTTTTTTTTTTTTTTTTTTTTTTTTAATCTCTCTCTTCTGGAAAAAGATATCAGGATGTGAGATGTTTCTGGTTATTTTTTTGCTTTCTAATTTCCTGAAATCAAAATCAGTTCATTGTTTCTGTTTTTTTGTCACTTTACATGATCTGTATGCATATAATTTTTTATTTTTAGCGTGCTAGCTGTGGTAATGCTGCAGAAAATCCTCTTAGATTTTACTCATTTTCTTCTTTATCCAGTCAGGAGATGCGAAGAGCTCCTTTTAGTGTGGAGCTTGATGCTGCCAATGCTACTTGGTTATCAAATGATGTAGTCTTGCTGTCAACAAAAGCTGGGGAGCTTTTACTGCTGACTCTTGTTTATGATGGACGGTAAGTGGTGGCATCTTAGTTTATTTATTTCATTTTAGTTGTCTTGGGTGTGTGTATGCTGAAGGATCTAAGCTTGTGTCTTGTTCTCTATCTTTTGTACATGATTGCCTAGTAAATTATCGTTTGTTCCCATGGAACCGAGAAATTTTTATTTTATTTATGCGGATGATGAATTTCGTGAAGGCAATTTTAGTTTTTCCTTTTTTAAGTGGGGCATTCTTCTTGGATGCTTCTTGACCCTCTGAGTAGAAAAAAGATGGATACATTCACCTGTTTTTGTTTATAATCCAGTGTCTGTCTAACTATGCGTATGACCATAATGCGTATCCTATCTTACAATCTGCAGGGTTGTGCAGAGGCTTGATCTTTCAAAGTCTAAAGCTTCAGTACTTACATCGGTTAGTCATAAGTATTGGACTATTTTGCTAATTTGCTTGTAGACATGTTTTCTTATTTATTTTTGGCTTTTGAACTTGTGTTTGCATCTCACCATCTGCTAACTCTTTTTCTTTTTGTTCTTTTTTGTAGGGAATTACAACAATAGGAAATTCATTATTTTTTTTGGGAAGTAGGCTGGGAGATAGTTTGCTTGTGCAGTTTACTTATGGATTAGGGACCTCAATGTTGTCTTCTGGTCTGAAGGATGAGGTGTGTGTTGGAACTGATCAAGTTTACTCTTCCAATGGTCAGATCTCTTTAGAATTCTAGAAACCACTCGTGATTCAACTCTTATTTCAACCAGTTAATTTTATATCTTACAATGTGGATTCTTGGGTGCCAGGAGTTGCATGGTGAAAAATATTTATTTTCTTTTTAAAAGCTTTTAAGAAAAACCTTTTGCACCAATTTGAAAGGGGATTGTGTTTCCTTCTTGTTCAGAAGAAATTACATATTGAAATTAAAATATTTTAAATAACTTCTATTTGTTATTTTTCTAATAATTTTCAACACTTATGTGATAGAGAACCTTGCTACCAATTTGAAATTTACAGGTTGGGGATATTGAAGGAGATGCTCATTTAGCAAAGCGCTTGCGAAGATCATCTTCTGATGTATTGCAAGACATGACTAGTGGCGAGGAGCTCTCTTTATATGTTTCAGCTCCAAATAACTCAGAATCAACTCAGGTTGATTTCAAATATAGGAGGCCTTCACTTAGCTATTATTCTTCCCTTCTCATAAAGTTAGTAACAGGAGACAAAAGGATTACTATGAAGGGACGGGAGTTAGAAAACAGACATATAACATTTAATAAATAATTAAATATTATTAGAAACTTACAAAATGCTGATCTTCTTAAATTTGTTATCCTAGTTAGTGAGAGAAATTGCTGTTTTATAATTATTGTTCTTCATTTTGGTTTTCCAAGTTGGGAATTGGAATTGGTGTGAAAATGTCAATCTAGTTTTGTGCAATTACACATATTTGATCTTCCAATAGAACAATTTGTTCTTCAGTTCTTATCTTTTACTTGCACTTTTTTTTTTCTCGTTCGGCAGAAGTCATTCTCATTTACTGTGAGGGATTCATTGGTGAATGTTGGTCCTTTGAAGGACTTCTCCTATGGTTTAAGGATCAATGCAGATCCCAATGCAACCGGAGTTGCCAAACAGAGTAACTATGAGCTGGTTAGTTTTATTTATTATGCCCTGACTATGAGCAGTTTCTGAAGAAGACTGATGGATCTTACTTCCTAGGCTTGACTTTGAACTGTTCCTGATTCTGTTGGCAAATTTGAGTCAAATTATATGACATAGGCTTTCTCCTTTTGGGTCCGCTGTGATTGTTGTTCAGAAATGTAGTGCTTTTGTTTTATCTATCAATACATGAAACTGTATTTATTTCAGGTTTGCTGTTCTGGTCACGGAAAGAATGGCGCTCTCTGTGTTCTTCGACAGTCAATTCGCCCAGAAATGATTACTGAGGTCTGTGAGATCGTAGCTTTCTTTGGTATTCATTGGAGGAAACATAAGTGCTTTTAAGCTCATGTCTGGTAATGAATTGTATGCTTTGTTTACCACATACCATTTATGTTTACTGAAATCCAAGATGTCAGATGATGTATATAATAACATAAAAATATAGTTTTGCATAAAAACTATAAAAAAGTTAGTTTTCCTGTTGGGTTTGCTTGCCCTGCCTCAACATAAATCTTTTGCGTATTTACATCATTCAAGTTGAAAAGGTTTTTGGTTAATGGTTATACAAGAGAATATAAAAGATATTGAATGAGAAATTGTTTCATTATTTATGGCTCTGTCTTTGTATCCTGTTTCAGTGCAAGTTACGTGTTAAAATACCCTTTCTGATTTTTGGCATAGCAGGTTGAATTACCAGGTTGCAAAGGAATTTGGACCGTTTACCACAAGAGCACACGTAGCCATGACTCTTCCAAACTTGTTGCCGCTGATGATGAGTACCATGCATATTTGATTATAAGTCTGGAGGCTCGGACAATGGTAATGACTAGCACATAAAGTTAAAGAACATTTTGTTCATTTATCTATATTGATTTTGTTCATAGCATTTTTATCTCGACAGAATTATGCTCTATTGCTCTTAACGTAGATATAGTAGTTACAACTTGCAAGGCATGAAATACTAGATGCTTTTAAATGCTTTTCAAGTTGAATTAACATGGTGTTACCTCCTTCTGAAGGCCCCCTGTGGGTTTTTTGTGTTCTACTTCTGTGTGTTTTATTATTATTATTATTATTATTATTTAAAAAAAAAAAACATAATATCCTTTTGCCGATTCTTATTATTAAAAAAAAAATCATATAGAATGTGGATGGTACTCATTGAGAATGAGGATTGGTTATTTTACCGTGAAGACCTATTGCATATTAAGTCAAACCTATTTGGTTTTCTAGGAACGAGGTTGTCATGTGATTCAAGTAGCAAGTTTTTGAGGATATAGATCAGTGTACTCTTTATGCCTGAGCTATATTTTTGATGCAGAACTAGTCAAGGCGAGGAAGATAGAACAGAAAGAGAAGGAATTTAGAGAAAAAGAGAGAGAAATGGACGAGAGATGGGGATTTAGAAAAGAAATAAGATAGGGAGAAGAGAACAAAAGGGAGAAGGAATACGAGAATTCAATTCAATATTCAAATCTTAGTCTGAATTGTCTTCTAGCAATGTAGCCAATCAATAGGCTAGTTACATAGCTAAAATTTGAAACTAAATATATTAAATTAAATACATATAATCATAATCAGAAATCAAATCACCAATCATCCCAATCAATCACAATCGATTCCCTAATTAACGAAATCAATCCCAAATAATCCTAAGTAATGTAATCGGCATCAATTTTCCTCTTCAAAAACATAAAGGACAGTTTAGTCTTTCTTTAAGTAACTCACCATTTTTGAAAGTTTCAACATTAGGGAAACAATCATTTGTCTTTCATGTGTTAGTATTTATATTTTGGAAATAATCAGTTCGACCTTTGTTATTGCCATCACATTTTGTTAGAAATGATTCTTCCATTTTGATGGGTAGGTACTTGAAACTGCTGATCTTCTGACAGAAGTTACTGAAAGCGTTGACTATTATGTGCAAGGAAGAACAATTGCTGCAGGGAATTTGTTTGGAAGGTTAGTGTGTCTTATGAATCTCATTGTTTTTTTCCCCGCTTCTGTTTCCCAAGGTATTCATCTCTTTCTTTTTCATATTATAATTCTTTGTATCAATCATTTCCAGTTTCATTTTTTTTTCCTATCATTAGTTTGGCGAGTTTTCATTGTCATATGCATTTTGATGCAATGTAAGGAGAGTGTATGATGCTAGAAGATCTTGTTTTCTAGAATGCTCCCTTTGTACCTGTACTTTTCTCGAAGTTTTTAAAGATCCTTGTTGCATCAGCAAAATGATTTCCTATATTCTAGAATGCTCATTTTGGTAGTATCTTCCTGCTTTATTGTGGATAGTAGTGTAATTTTAGCTCATTATTCATTGTGTGGGTTAGTGCTGAATTTTCTGCTTCGTGCTAATATCTTTTTAATTTCCCTTTTTTTGTCATTAAGGCGCCGAGTTGTGCAAGTTTATGAACGTGGTGCTCGTATTCTAGATGGTTCTTTTATGACTCAGGATTTGAGTTTTGGACCTGCACCTTCTGAATCGAGTTCTGGTTCTGAAAATGCCGTAGTGACTTCAGTTTCCATTGCGGATCCATATGTGGTATTGAGAATGAGTGATGGAAGCATTCGGCTCCTTGTAGGAGGTATATTTTTCTAGATTTTTTCTTTTCGGTAATATATATGTTTACAGATTTGATACACAGTATATACATATATTTTTTGAAGTAATCTTCTTATCTTAACGTTTCAATTGACCTTATATTTGATTCCTTAATTGCTATAAATTATTTCTTTTGACTTTTGTTTTATGTTGGATTTTTATGTTCTCATCTATTATTGGTTTTGCAGATCCCACTTCATGTACTGTTTCTGTAAGTACTCCGGCTGACTTTGAGAGCTCAAAAAGTATAATATCTGCATGCACACTGTATCGTGATAAAGGACCAGAGCCATGGCTCCGTAAGACAAGTACTGATGCATGGCTTTCGACAGGTGTTGATGAGGCCATTGATGGTGCTGACGAGACATTACAGGATCAGGGTGATATATATTGTGTTGTTTGTTATGAAAGTGGTTCCCTTGATATATATGATGTTCCTAGTTTCAATTATGTTTTTTCCGTGGATAACTTTATATCCGGAAGGCCCCATCTAGTCGACGCATTTGTGCAAGAACAACCTAAGGATCTTCAAAAAGCAACAAACAAAAATTCTGAAGAATCAGCTGGTCAAGGCAGGAAAGAAAATGTACAGAACATGAAAATTGTTGAGTTGGCCATGCAGAGATGGTCAGGAAAGCATAGCCGCCCTTTTCTCCTTGGGATACTGACTGATGGATCAATTCTTTGTTATCATGCGTACTTGTTTGAAGGTCCAGAGAGTACCTCTAGAACTGAAGATTCAGTTTCTTCACGGAATTCTTCTGGTTCAAGGCTCAGAAATCTGAGATTTGTTCGAGTTCCATTGGACTCATATGCTAGAGAGGAAACGTCAGATGGAATGCCATGCCAAAGAATTAGTGTTTTCAAGAATATTGCTGGTTATCAGGGGTTATTTTTGTCTGGGTCAAGACCAGCTTGGTTTATGGTATTCAGAGAACGTCTTCGTGTTCATCCTCAGGTCAGCAAATAATTAACTTGGGGATATAAGAACAAAGTGGCATTAATTGTTGAACATTTTATGCACTTCTTCTCTTGTTATATATAAGCAAGTGTGCTATTTACTTGTTTCATTTTTATTTTTTAACTGTGCAGCTATGTGATGGTTCAATTGTAGCCTTCACTGTTCTTCACAATGTGAATTGCAACCATGGGTTCATATATGTTACATCAGAGGTAGAAAAATAGTTTATTTGCCATTTCTGGATGATTGTTTACATGATTGTGGAAATTCCAGTTAATCTTTTTCTCTAATTTCCAGGGTATTTTAAAAATTTGCCAATTGCCATCTATAACAAGCTATGATAACTATTGGCCAGTGCAAAAGGTGGTACTTTAGTGTTTCTTGTTTTACTTGGTTTGAATATCAATTCAACGTATAATTATATTTTTGGTATATGGGTTCGTCATGGGTTTAAACCCATGGTTTTGCTTCTGCTACAATATTTTTCTCTCACAAAAAATTTGAATTTCAAAAGTCAATAATCAAAACAACTGGTTTGAACCTATATACCAAACGGGCCCTTAGAAATTAGAATTTTGTTTAGTGATCAACTTTTTAGTGATCATTTTTTTTTTTTTTTTTTTTTTTTTTTTTTTTTTTTTTTTTTCTAAAGATTCCATTGAAAGGCACCCCACATCAAGTTACGTACTTTGCGGAGAGGAATTTATACCCACTTATAGTTTCAGTTCCTGTGAGTCTACCTTCCAACCCTTTTCCATGCTTTACATTCTGTATATTTACTATTTTACTTGTATTACCTTGATTTTTTTGGCAGCAAATATGTTTGTCTCATTATTCAAATCTTTGAAATTCAGCATTGGCAGTATTCTGTCATCTTTTATACTATATATCCAGATCGTCTACAAATCTATGCTGTCTTATTTTAAATTGTATTATGCTGTCTGTCAATTGCATTATTGTTTTCCGTACATGCTACAATCTGTATCAGTCTTTTGTATGCCTGAAGAGTATTTTTGGTTCAAATTAATGAGTTACGAAGGCCAGCGGTGTGCAAAATATTTTCTAAACAGTTGCCTTAAGATTCCTTAATTTGCTCATGCTTGATATAGTCGATTTTCCTCAGATAATATCAGAGGTAGTAATACTCGTAAGTAATTTTCTGTAGGTTCCTAAGCCACTGAATCAAGTTATGTCATCTTTGCTTGATCAAGAAGTTGGGCATCAGTTTGAGAATCCTAATTTGAGTCCTGATGATCTGAATCGGACTTACACTATTGATGAATTTGAGGTTCGGATTCTCGAGCCAGAAAGATCTGGGGGCCCTTGGCAGACTAAGGTTACCATTCCAATGCAAAGTTCTGAGAATGCCCTAACTATCCGAGTGGTCACATTGTTTGTAAGTCTATACTGCTGTTCTCTTAGTTCTGATAATCACCCACAAAAAATGAGTAAATGATAAAAGAGATATATTTGGGTGGGGGACTGACAGGCCTGCTCTGATAGCAAAACTAGTTTGGTGTTTGCTCAATCTCATTGCGTTCTTTGAATTATACAAGATACCTATTTATTTAAAACTTCTAATGTTCATTGCAGAACACAACAACAAATGAGAACGAAACACTTCTAGCCATTGGGACTGCTTACGTGCAAGGGGAGGATGTGGCTGCTAGAGGAAGAATTATTTTGTATTCACTAGGAAAAGATAGTGATAATTCCCAAAATTTGGTAGTTTAGCAGACTTTACTTTCTCTACTTGCTTCACCGTTGTTATCTTTACTCCTAACAATATCTACTGGCGAGGACCTTCTCTAGTTCACTCTACTCTTTTTTTTTTTTTTTTTTTTTAATATTCTCTTTACTTCCAAAGGCGGGCCTTGGCACCGTGGTGGGAGCGCTTGCATTTGCACCCGGGGTCCAGGGTTCAAATCCCGGAAATGGCCTCTCCTTCGGGGGGTAAGGCCGCGTACATATGGGATTGAGCTTTCCCTCGAGCCTGTCATAGTACGGGAGCCTCTTTGGCACTGGGGTCCGCCTTTTTTTTATATTCTCTTTACTTCCGAAAGTCTTCAAGATTGATTCAGCTGATTTCCATCTCCAGGTTTCAGAGATTTACTCCAAGGAGTTGAAGGGTGCTATATCTGCTTTAGCCTCTCTTCAAGGCCATTTGCTAATAGCTTCTGGTCCTAAAATTATTTTACACAAGTGGACTGGTACTGAGTTGAATGGAATTGCATTTTTCGATGCACCACCATTATACGTTGTGAGCTTGAATATTGTACGTGCTACCAAACACATTTCTACTATTGTTATTGTTGTCACTGTTATTATTTTTGTTGTCGTCGTCGTAGTTATAAACCTGGATCCAGTCAGGAGGGAGTGAGAGAGAGCAGCAGAGGTCATCTCCAATATTAAGAGAATGAAAGGAGCCAGAACTGGATTATAAATATTATATGATTGATTACTATATATACTTGAATTTATTCTTGTGAAAAAAGTTTCAAATTCACTTGACGTTGTTGTATGAACTTGATCCAATCAGAAGAGGGGGAGAGAGAACCGCAGATATCTCCAATACTAAGTGAATGAAAGGAGCCAGAACTGGATTATACATATCACATAGTTGATTAATATATACTCGAGTTTATTCTTAAAAGAATGAAAGATTCAAATTTACCCCTCTTGCTGAAATTTTCTCCTCTTTCGGTAGTTTGGATCTATTATTTTACATTTATTACATATAAACACTGCTGCAGGTCAAAAACTTTATTCTTATTGGTGACGTCCACAAAAGCATATACTTTCTTAGTTGGAAGGAGCAGGGAGCTCAACTCAGTTTATTGGCCAAGGATTTTGGCTCCCTTGATTGTTTTGCAACAGAGTTTCTAATTGATGGAAGTACACTGAGCCTTGTAGTTTCAGATGATCAGAAGAACATCCAGGTCAGTTATCTTTTTTTTTTTTTAAATTTTTTTTCCATCTTCTGAACTTTTTTGGATCTATGATGACAAAATTTTCAGATGTTCAAATTTATTGTAGTTGGTGGGAAAGTGATTTCTGGTGTCAGAATTTTATTTGCCGGTTTATATAGTTTTATCTTCTGTATTTTCCTTTTATGATTCTTCTTTTAAGGTACTTTATGATATATTTTCTAACACCTTTTTGCAAGACTCCTTTTTCTGTTCTGATTAGAAAGTGTATAATTAGTACATCTGTTTCAGGTTTCACAGTTGATAGGCTAAGTTTGGTTTTAATTTTGACATAGTGCAGATATTTTATTATGCACCAAAGATGTCTGAAAGTTGGAAAGGACAGAGGCTTCTTTCAAGGGCTGAATTTCATGTTGGTGCCCATGTAACCAAGTTCTTGCGGTTGCAAATGCTTCCTACTTCAACTGATCGCACAGGGTCCACTCCAGGCTCAGATAAAACCAATCGCTTTGCATTACTTTTTGGTGCCCTGGATGGCAGTATTGGCTGTATTGCACCACTTGATGAACTAACATTTCGTAGACTGCAGTCATTACAGAAAAAGCTTGTCGATGCTGTTCCACATGTGGCTGGTCTGAATCCTAGATCGTTTCGCCAGTTTTGCTCAAATGGAAAGGCTCACCGGCCTGGACCGGACAGCATAGTTGATTGTGAACTGCTATGCCAGTAAGTTTTTCATGTTGCCCTAACATTCTTGATATTATAATTAATCTTTTCCCATTTTAGTATTTCGCTTCATTGTCATTCATGTTGATTGCTCTTTCATGAGTCATGACACATAACAACTATGGCATGGGATACTTATCCAGTCCTGCTGGACTTTGATGAACCTCTTCATTCCAGCTAGACCAAGCATTATTGTCTTTTCATATGTTTTGTTTGTCTTGCCGGATACTCCCATCCTTGTCTCACTGTTGTCGAACATTGGACCAAAACAAAACCACCGAGAGAGAGAGAGGCCGACTTATTATGGATTTAGTGGTGAATCTCATGGATTTAAGAGAATCTCGTGATAAGGAATGGCACATTAGTGTTATGAATATTGTTTTCCAGCATCATAAATTAGTATGAGATGAGGGGCTATTTCTTTAGCGTGACTAGTGTTGTTCGTCTGCTGTTTGCAGTTATGAGATGCTTCCTTTGGAGGAACAGCTGGAAATTGCTCACCTGATAGGGACAACCCGTTCACAAATTCTTTCAAACTTAAATGACCTTTTTCTAGGAACAAGCTTCTTGTAACTTGTAAGTGCAGCTGATATGAGAACCGTACAGGAGAACTCCGACGCACTAATTTGGTCGCATTTTTGGATACTACCCAGGCTGATTTGTGTCCAGATTTAAACAGTATTGCCATTTGTGGCTGCTATGCTGAAATCAGTTGCAGCAAGAAGTGGAGTCGCAGTGGGGGCGCGGGGAAGTGAAAAATGAATAAAAATCTTGCTCCAATGTTGTATCATTTATGGGATGAACTGCCAATAATTTGACGCTTATATTTTAGAAAAAAACATCCAAATTGTTCCCCATTGCCTTTCTTTTTTTTTTTTTTTTTTTCCCAATGATGTTGTACTAATTGCATCGATAGTTGCTGCTAGAGGGTTGTTTATAATAATTTAGTCCATTATTGTTGGTTTTAATGTATGAACATGAGATTATGATTTTATAGTATCACTCAACACTTCGCAGAGTTGACATCGCAAGATGAGGTTGCGAAAACAAAAACAACAAAAGACGCCAAAACTAGATCGGCGAAAAAATTAAAATAGACGTCAGTTATACATATTTTGATGTATAATGTATTTTTTAATAATTGGAAAGTACACACCAAAAGGAAAAGACCCAAAAGCCAGTCCTAAATTGACTAGACTCCAACCCTATTCCTAAATAGCAGCCAGTCCTAAATTGACTTACTCTAACCCTGTTCCTAAGGACACAGCCCCAAGTTAGCTAACCCTAACATTACCTCTCAAAGTAGCCCCCTCCCTCCCGCTGCCACATCTCCCATAACTGTTGATGCCTAGATGATTGTAACCCACTGAGAAGTCGTAAAGCTTCTTGTTGGAGCCGCCACCGTAGCAGAGGACCATAGCTAGAGCTTCCAATGAAGTAGAACACTCTAAGAGAAATCGGTGAACAAGGCTTGCAAAGGAGAGGGAGGAAAGCTCGCGATGGCTCGAGTGGCAGCGTCATAATGGCATCCGGGCCACCGGCACCGAAGGGGCAGTTTTGTCATTTTCAAAATGTTTTCCTGAAAACCGGCCATTAAGCGCAATTAGTTCAGAACTAGTCATTTGTCATAAACATTTTTAAGAAAGTAGACCATTTCCGTGATGGGCCTATATTGCGCATGTGCCAGCTCTCATGCACGTGCAAAGATAATGCATAATTCGATCTACCCGTGGACGTACAATAATGATGACACACGTGCACAACATTTATAGTTCCATCTCTATTCTCTAGGGCTGAAAGGGATGACTGAAGAGACACAGAGGGATAATATTATCAACTCAAGGGGATGTTTCTAAAGTGTGTGTTTTGGGACCATTTCCTCTAAGGAATGTCAAGCAAAAGTGGAACATTTCTCCTTCATTTGTGATCAATGAGATGCCTTGGAGTGTCCCCTCCTATGGGCAAGCAATGCTTATTATATAGAGGCACTTCTATAATCTCATTAATGTCCATAAATCTTTATTTTTCTTTCTAAATGTTATTTTGTCATTAAACAAAAGCCAACTTTAGGGGAATTAAAATCGCCCAAAAGCACTGGTAGTGGAATCTTAGTAGTGCACACTTGGGTCTCTATCAATGGAGAGGCAAAATGAGTGTGTATGCTTTGCTTTGCTTTTCATGAAAAGAGAGCCTTTCAATTTTTTTTTTTTTTTTTTCAAGTACCCTATGAATTTTTCACTTCCTATATGGGTCCAACACAATGGTGGGAGTGCACACTGAGTCAACTCGGCTGTTCCCATTTTGAGTTGGCGCCTTTGTAGATTCTAATTTCTTTGGTAGGTTTAGTTTGATATTGCGTTTTTCTCCCGAAATTAGCTTCTGCTTGTAGCAAAAACAGATTTTTAGTGTTTAGTAAATCTCTTTAAAAGTACTTTTTGAAGAATTTTTCAAGAATCTACATTCAAAATTAAAAGCAGCCTAAAGACAACTTTAGCTTTTAGATTGTGCGGGAATCAACATAGTACAATTAATAAAACTTTTATAATACCTATAATACCCCTAATGAAATTTAAAATTTACAATCTTTCCAATCTAAAATTCAAACTCGTAATATAATATAATATAATATAATATAATATAATACTAATATTGTAACAAATAATATCATAATTATATTAATAACTCTAATATTATTATTTTATTATATAATGTGATATTATAATAATATTATAATTATTTTAATAATATGA